CACGTATCACCCCCGATACCGTGTGAGAAAAACCAATTGTAAGATTATGATTATTATGGGCCTCCGTGTGAGAACCTTCAGCATGCGGCATGCCGCATTGGGCATGGGGTATGCCCCATGAGGCATGGGCCATGCCCCATGTGGCAGCAACGGAGCCACAAAGGGCAGGAGAGGGGCTACGAAGGGCAACAGCGGGGCCACGAAGGGCATGCACATGAGGCCACGACGGGCGCGAACGAGCGGGGGCCACGAAGGAAATGCATATATGGAGCCACGAAGGGCTGCGAGGGGGCCACGAAGGGCTGCAACGGGGCCACGAAGGGCAGCGAGGGGGCCACGAAGGGCTGCAACGGGGCCACGAAAGGCAGCGAGGGGGCCACGAAAGGCTGCAACGGGGCCACGAAGGGCAGCGACGGGGCCACGAAGGGCTGCAACGGGGCCACGAAGGGCTGCAACGGGGCCACGATGGGCTGCAACGGGCCCGCGAAGGGCAGCGAGGGGGCCACGAAGGGCTGCAACGGGGCCACGAAGGGCATCGAGGGGACCACGAAGGGCTGCAACGGGGCCACGAAGGGCAGCGAGATCACGATTCCTAAGTAAGCTGTGAGGGAGTCCTAAGCGTGAGCGCGACTCCTGGGTGCCTGAGTGTCGAGAGCGCGGCATTTGAGTAAATTGCGGGAAATTCCAAAGCAAGAGCGCGATGGTTGACTACATTGCAAACAAATCTCCAGCGAGAGCGCGACTCCAGAGCGCCGAGAAAACGATTCCTGAATAAATTTAAAGAAGTCCCAAGCGAGAGCGCGATTCCTGAGAAAAATGAAAAGAAATCTCAGGCGGGAGCGGGGGTCTTTGCTAAATTGCAAGAAAATCTCAAGCGGGAGCCGTTGTTTTGTTCAATCCGGGGCCAACAAGTCAGTTTGAGCCGAATGACTTCCCATGATAAGGGAACCGGTGCGAGCCCCGGGTGAAGCACCTGTAATTTAGAGAACATAGTGATCACCAGAGGGGGTGGATCAACAATACTTATTCTTCAGTAGTGAGAGTTCGACACCACAACATCAACACCTACACAAAGCCCACCACCAACAACAGCAGCAACAGCAGCAGCAGCAACGACAACAACAGCGACAGCAACAGCAACAGCAGCAACAACAATCATCAGTTTAAGACTGTTTGCTCTTACCTGCTCGAGTGTCCGTTAACGCGTATTTTCCAAACCCTCGTTACCCGCCCTCTTCAATTCGATCGTGCCCCTTTTGGGGGGTATACCTTTTTTTTGCAGGCCGTGTCCCGGCAAGCGGCGGGGCAGCCACGGACCGTCGGCCTGGCCAGCGGCAGCGCTGATCGGCGGCAACCCGATCCCAAGAGTGACGGATAGGTAACCGACCACAACGACAACGACGACAACGACGACGACGAAGACGACGACGCCGACGACGGCGAGAGAAAGCGAGAGCGAGAGAGAGAACGACAGCAGGGCCACGAAGGGCGCGAAGCAGGCCACGAAGAGGTAACATGAAGGGAATGCGTATGGGGCCACGACGAGCGCGAACGAGCGGGGGCCACGAGGGGCAGATAATGCGGGGCCACAGAAGGCAACGACGGGACCACTGAGGGTAGCAACTGGGCCACGTATGACACCGAGGGGGCCACAAAGGGCGACAGCGGGGCCACGAAGGGCATGCTTATGGGGCCACGACGGGCACGAACGAGCGGGGGCCACGAAGGGCATGCGTACATTTGGCCGCGGAGGGCAAGGACGGGGCCACTGAGTGCCACTGAGGGCAGCAACGGGGCCACGAAGGGCAGCGAGGGGGCCACAAAGGGCGACAGCGGGGCCACGAAGGGCAGGCATCTGGGGCCACGACGGGCGCGAACGAGCGGGGGGCCACGAAGAGCATGCGTACATTGAGCCGCGGAGGGCAAGGACGGGGCCACTGAGGGCAGCAACGGCAACGGGGCCACGAAGGGCAGCGAAGGGGCCACGAAGGGCGACAGCGGGGCCACGAAGGGCATGCATCTGGGGCCACGACGGGCGCGAACGAGCGGGGGCCACGAAGGACATGCGTACATTGAGCCGCGGAGGGCAAGGACAGGGCCACTGAGGGCAGCAACGGGGCCACGCAGGGCAGCGAGGGGGCCACGAAGGGCTGCAACGGGGCCACGAAGGGCAGCGAGGGGGCCACGAAGGGCATACGTACATTCGGCCGCGGAGGGCAAGGACGGGGCCACTGAGGACTGCAACGGGGCCACGAAGGGCAGCGACGAGGCCACGAAGGGCTGCAACGGGGCCACGAAGGGCAGCGAGGGAGCCACGAAGGGCTGCAACGGGGCCACGAAGGGCAGCGAGGGGGCGACTAAGGGCTGCAATAATCTTGACCGTCTTGAAGCTGTCCTCTCCACTGCTCGTGCAAACATCCCACCCTCCCACCCGCAACTTGGTCGCAAAACATCTTCAGACAAGACCGTGACGGTAGGTACTGCATGGCACTTGGCCACGACACCGATGCCGACGACGACAGCGACATCGACGACGACGGCGCCGCCGACAGCGACTGCGACGACACCGACGACGTCTCCAATGTTTTCGACGACGACAACGACGACGACGACACCGACGACGACGACAACGACGCCGACGACGACGACGAAGACGACGACGACGTCGCCAACGGAGACGACGACGAGGGAGGAGAAAAAACGACGACGGCGACAACGACGACAACGACGATGGAGGAGGGAAGACGGCGACGACGCCAACGACGAAGAAGGAGGAAGGACGGCGACGCCGACGACGACAACGACGAGGGAGGAGGGAAGACGACGACGATGACAACGACGACGAAGACGACGACGACGGCGACGAAATAGGAGGGACGACGACGAGACGCCGACGACGGACGACGACGACGAGGGAGGAGGATAACGACGAGGAGGAGTGAAGACCACGACGACGACGACGACGACGACGACGACGACGGCGACGAAATAGGAGGGACAACGACGAGACGCCGACGAAGACAACGAGGGAGGAAGGACGACCACGGCGACAACGACGACGGAAACGACGACGACGCCAAGACGACGACAACGACGACGAGGAAAGACAGAAGACGACGACGGCGACGACGACGACGACGACGACGAGGAGAGGAGGGAGGACGACGACGACGACGACGACGACGAAGAGCGCGCGCGCGCACAATTTTGTTGAAAACCCGTGTTGCGAAACCTTGTGTTTTTGTAGGTTTTTTGGACGCACGATTTCGAAATCCTTCCGAAACCGAAGGTTTTTGAAGGATTTCGGCATACGCCCGCGACGACGCGCGCGTCTGCACTTCGTCCCATTTGTTGCAGAGGATTCTCGCGACGGCACACGCGCAAGGGCGTTCGACAGATTTCGACATGCGCGCGCGCGAAGCCCGTTTGGTAGCATTTTGTGAAAATCTTGGAAAACCTACGGTTTTCTTAAGATTTTGCAAGAGCTCGCGCGTAAGTTTTTTTAGCAAATCAGTGTTGCGAAACCATGTGTTTTTATAGGGTTTTTGGACATTCAATTTTGAAATATCTCCGGAACCGAAGGTTTTTCAAGGATTTCGGCATGCGCGCGCCACGACGCGCGCGTGTGCGCTTCGTCCCATTTGTTGCAAGGGATTAATGAAAAAGTACTATGTTAGAACAAAACATGTCACCGCATAGTGTTTTTTACTAAGGAACCGCAGGGGGGGGGATACCGGCTTGGCTGGGATGGTATGAATTCATATTTAGGATGGACATGTG